CCACTGTATCTCCAGCATCAAGAAGCATGCCTAGTGTTTAATAGTTGCTAAAAACATTATATTGTATGAATGGCTGGATGAACCCACCGAAGGGAGGTTCCTCTGTGTCCAGGTGAGAATGCACCAAGTTGTGAACTTCACATACTGGCTGGAGAGTGTGGGGAGCCCGAGGCAATGAAATAATGTCAGAATTCTCCTTGTTCAGTTCAACTCAATTCAATCCTGCACATAGTTACTGAATTCCTAGTATGCACCAGGCAGTGAACCTCACACTCAGGAATCAGCGAAGAAAAATCAGAGTTCTACCCTCCTGCCAATGAGAGTTGGCATGGCAATTATATTCTTACCAGCGATTATGAGAGTAATTAAATAGCGCTTGCTTTAGGTCACACAGAATTCTAAGCATTTCCATGAATTGCCTTATTTATTGCTCACCACAGCCCTATGAGTTAAGAATGATCATTATATCCAAAGAAGAGGGTGGGTATTTTGTACATCTTTTTCACTATGGGTTGCTTAGCACCATGCATATTATTTTATATTTTTGTATATGGATTACTTAGCTCCTGGCATAAGTAGATGTTCAATAAGTAGGTTCAATAATCAATGAGCATTTTGAAAGAGGAGGATGGTGTTTGAGGGTCTTTAGCAGGGGGATTTGACCCAGTCCTGGGGCATTAATGGATTAAGAAGTACAAATTGGTTATTACAGAACAATCACGGCCTGGAAAGCACAGCATAGGGAATATAGTCAATAATATGCTAATAATTATGTATGGTGTCAGATGGGTATGAGACTTATTGGGGTGATCACGTAGCAAGTTATATAATGTCTAATCACAGAATGTACATCTCAAACTAATATTGTATGTCAACTGTAATTAAAAATTTAAAAATGATTTAAATTTTAAAAAAAGAAAAGAAGAAGAAGAAGCACCTCCCTGAAGATGTGAGATTTTATTTAAGATTTGAAAATGAATAAAAATTTACTTTGCTTTGATGAGAGTGAAGACTTGGGCAGGCTCATCCGGCCTGATCTTAAATAAGCTAACATTTCCCCCCCTGGGATTTAGCTTCCTTCTTAGCAAAATGAAAAACTCTGATGATGAAACTTCCCCAAAGGAGATTGTAAGAACACAGTAGAAGAGAAGGGTCAGAGTAATTTCCCATGAGAGCCAGGCTTCAGTGAGCACAAGCTGCAGGAATGGCTGGCCCGGGTGGCAACAGGCGGTGGGACAGTGGCCCCGAGGCAAGGGCTCCGGCTGGGACTTTGAAGGACAAAAGTGATTGCCTGTGATCTCCCAGGAGGTCAGTTTAAAGAAGAGCTGGGAACAGCCTGGTCCACAGTGCAGCACTCAAGGATTTCCCAATTTTTTGGTTTTCTGTTTGTTTGTTTTTGCCGGTTGATGTCAGAACCCAGCATGTGGAAGTCATCTGGGGAATTTCTTGTCTCTGGGCTCGGCCCTGCAGACTCTGGGCCCTTCTCGCATGGCACCTAAACTGGGTCACCTTTATCTTTCCCTCCTCCTAGGCTTCTGGTTTCCCTTTCAGGGAACTTGTTCAGCTCTTGGGCCTCCCTCCAGGCCCTTCTGCCATTGCCTGGGAACCTCCCCTCTCCTTATAAAGACTCCTTCCTCTCCTGGTGGCACTGCTCATATCTGTGATGACATTAGGTATATCAGAGTCTAATTCCACTTACAGGTTTAGTGACTGCTAACTGGTCATTTGCTATGCCCCCCAGTAAGATAATTGCCTTTTAACAGGAGCATTTTATAAGTCATGCAAAAGCAGGGCTCTCTAACAATGAACCTTCAGGGGCTCTGTAATCCCAAAGAGTCTTTTCAGAGCCTCTTCCTGCTGTCAAGCCCCTCTGATGCTGTATTATAACAGTTTAATAAACTGTTTATTAAGCTATTATAATATAAACGTCCTCCTTTTGTCTGGAGTGTGGGCTCCTTTACAGCAGGGACCGGATCTGATATCCTATATCCCTGTCACTCAGCCTGTTGCCCTAATATAATATCAGGGTGGCAACAAATGGTTGGACACAGTGGTGAGACAAATGGTTTAGGACAAGGGTATTTGGAAAACTTTGCTACCCTGACCCTTCAAGCCAAAGCATGAAATTAAATACCTTACCCCAGAGGTTCTCAGACTTTAAAGTGTGAATCACTTGGCTTGTTGAACATGCGGATTCCTTGTCTGTCTCCAGAAAGGGCTGTGGAATCTGCCTTTTTCACAGGCTCACCAGCTGAGTCCTTTGCAAAAACATCGGACTGCCTCTGGGGGCTGTTTGTCTTTGATAAATTATCACAGCCTCTTAGCTCGTTTTCTCTTCTGTATAATGGGGCTGTTCAGAGAATCAAAGAAAAAGATGCAAAGCCCACAGAAGCAGTAAAAATGGTGCAGGGCAAGCCACCGGCCTCAGATCACCTGTCCGAGGAAATGTCACATTTGTCCTCTCGGCCCCTCGTCCATTCTGCATCCAGGCAGTTGGGGTACAGAGGACTGGCACTAATGCCATCATTTTAAATTGGGGTTAGAGAAGACGTTTTCATTGAGATCAAGAAGTACAGGCTGGTTTGGAGTGTCCCTTTGGAAGTTGGGTGCTAGCCCCACTGCTCTTTTCTAATGGAGGAGACGGATTTTGTTTTGTTTTTAGGATATGGAAATTTTTAAAATTTTTTTTCTGAGTTCCTTGAGGATAATTGTGGGCAGCAATTCCCCCCTCCCCAGGAAGTTTTTTTTCCCCTTCAGGAAGTATTTACTAAGTGCCTACCATTGACTCAGGAGATGTTTACTAAATGCCTACTGGTTATCTAAGACTGAAATATGCAAAGTTGAAGCATGTCTGTTCATGAATTCCATAGTATCTTTGCTTGAGTTATATATTATTTTTGCTAAAAAGGACCTCCACAAAGAAGTATAAAACATCTTTCAAAAGCTGTCTTCTATATATTATATTCATTCACTCATTCAATCACTTACTCAATATTGATTGAGGACCTAATTTATGCCAGGCTCTGGGGGAAGCACTTGGGGTACAAAGATGAATTAGACATTGATATCACCCTGAAGAAGTTTACAATTTCATTATTCAGACAAGACAGGTAAGTAAATGCAAAAAGATACTGTGATTAAGGGCTGCTATTACTGTTATAGACAATAACAATTAAACATATGAAGCGCTTACATTATGCTAGGTACTGTGCTAAACCCTTCATATGAACCATCCTATTTTGCCCTCAAAATATTGTGGAAGATTCTGTTATTACCTTTATTGGAGAAGTAATGAGGCTTAGGGATGTTAAGCAAGTTGCCCAAGACCAAACAGTAAGTCAGTATCAAAGGCAGGCTTAGCCCCTGGCCACCTAATTGCAGCACCACCCTCTTGACCACACCCTCTGTTTCCTGCTCTGAGGTTGGCATGTGGCCGTAGCTCAGAGAAGGCCAACAACAGTCAAGGCCGCATTGGTAGTGAGTACAATGTGCCAGGTGCTTCATATGCTTATTGTCTCACTTCATCTAATAAAACACAAGGAGAATCCTGTTCCCATTTTACAGATGCAGAAACTGAGGCTCCCAGGTATTAAAGTTCTGTTCATATCTATCCAACTGGACACCAAATGCACTGGGATTCAAACTTGGGTCAAGTAGACCCTGGAACCCACACTCCTTCCACTTTAACTGCTGACCAGAGGTTGAACTTTCAGTATCTCTCAGAAAGGCACCTCTAGTTTTGCTCTTCTGTCCTGGGTTTGAGATGACACAAACAAGCAGACCATTTAGGAATTGTATAAACAGCACCGTACTTGGGATAGCCCACCCTTGCTAGGTCTCTGGGCCTATAGAAGTGATGGGTTATGTCATTATCGATGGGCTAAATGTCCTCTCCTTACCAGCAGTTGTCATCATGTCACAATGGTCCAAAAGTCAGAGAGAGTATATTGGTGGAAGAGTAGATTTACATCAAAATGGCCTGGAGTGTCACCGTAATTATTTATGGCTTGAAGTCTTTGCTCTCGTGGGCAGACCAACACATGTCTCTGATGCTATCCAGTACTTTTGTAAAGAGTGGCGCCCATAAAGGCTTACAAATTATAAGATTTCAGGACACGCTTTTATATTAAATCTTATTTTTAAAAATCCCACTCTGGGGAATATTGGTTTTCCTTTACAGACCATTTAAATCATTTCCTCGGGGCCCTGAATGCAGCACAAAAGACACTGCCTCTTTCTCTTCAACATATACAATAGTGCCTTTGACAGCACTTACAAATCCTAAACCGGGGCCTCGTGCTTGCCTTCCAGTGGTAACGTTTCCAAACTCATACTGTCTCACTGGTCAAAACCAAACCAGTGCCCCAGTCCAAACGACTTGCATTTGGTGATGGGCCGTGTCCTTCAACAGATCTTTCTCTCCCTTCTCATTTGAAACCCCAGTGAGAGTTTTGGTGAAGTTGTGCAGTCTGTGATCAGCTCCCCTTTTCCACGGCTCCCTCTGCCTTCCGGGGGGCACCGCTCCTGTGAAGGGTCAGTGCCCTTGGATTAGCCTCTATTGTTGTACTGCGGCTTTAAACTTGTGCAGCAAATAACCCAGAACCAAGTTGTTGCCCCGGCGTGAGGATCAGCAGGAAGAAAAAAAAAAAAAAAAAAAATCCGGAGTGGAACACAGAATCTGTCTGTGTTAGCCCTCTGTCACCGACCGCCCAGCCCAGCTTTCGGCTTCACCTAAATGATAAATGGTCCTATTGTTTGGGTTTCGTATTAAAAAAAAAAAAAAAATAGCACCCAATCTAGATGAAGCAAGGACAGAGACCCATTTCATTGCACTGTACTTGAATATGCCTGAGACCCATGGCATTACGGGTGGCTCCTTTGAACAGCCATCCCTCCCCAGGGCAGAGCACTGTGCCGCCTTTGTTTCATCGGATCTGTCCCCTAAATAAGAGATGGTCACTTATCCCCGGCGCTCTGGGATCCTGCTGGATTTCTGTGGCCGGGGAAGGTAGCGGCTCCGGGCAGGGCAGGTCCGCGCGTGTTTACAGGCAGGACTGACTTACTCAGCAGATCCTGCTCGGAGGCGCTGCGGCCAATGAAGAGCCTATCCCCCGGCTCGCCGGGGGCTCCTGAGTTGGAGCTGCATGCAGAAATGTAAGGCACTGCTTCCTGGCGCTGGTGGCAAAATGGGACCCAGCTCCAGTCCGCCCTCGGGCTCCCCGGCTCTGCAGACCTGGGAGAGGACCTACATACACATCCTGGTGATGTAGCCAGCTTTAAAGGCCGGGAGAATCCTGATGGATTCAGGAGCCTGGGTTGCTTTTTAGATTTCTGTTTTTTATTTTTTATTTTTTTTATTTTCTGGAAGATGAAATGCTTCTCTCGTTACCTGCCTTACATCTTCAGACCTCCGAACACCATCCTCTCTTCCAGCTGCCACACGGAAGGTACAGACCAGAGAGGGAGCGTGTCTGGGTGGGTGGGAGAAAGCGGGCTGGTGCGTGTGACTTCCCCCAGGCTCTGCTCATGCCGTTTTCTGTAGCTCCTGGAGGACTGTCGTTCCTGGCAAAAAGCTGGGATCTGACAGCTTAGGTCTGCTTCTAGAATCACTCTGTCTTCTTGCAAGGAAAGGGGAGTATTTTCCGAAGAGCAAGAGACTGTTGCAAAGGTGATCTCAAAGCTGATGCAGCCGATGAGAGAAACGAATTCCGAAATATTTTGCCAGTTTCCCTTATTCTACGTAACATGCAAACAAGTAATTGGAACTAATGTTAAGGGGAAAAAAAAATTGCTGTAGGGGCTGCCACGTAGGTTGAGCCAAGCTCTCTGTGTTCGTCACTGTTTAATAACTTGGTGCCTGCCCAAGAAAGCAATTAGCAGAATAGAATTAGCTCCCTCCCGGCTGTGGAGTGCCGATTGTCAGATTGCTTTGCTTCGAGCCTGTACTTGGGTTGCAGAGCAGGGAGAGCACAGCTGACTTTCGGCACTTGCTGGAGATGTGGTTTTGGGGGGGCGGGGGGTGTCCGGAGTTAGGGCCTGAACATGAGAGTGAGCTGAGCCTTGTCCCCCAAACCTGGTCCTGCTGCCTTCTAACCTAGCCTCATGTGCATACGTGTGCATGTGTGTGTGCATGTGTGTCTGTCTGTGTGTGTGTGCACTTTCCATGCGCCTGTGTGCCCTGTACACATTCTGGCCGTTCGTCTTCCACTGAGCACTGCAGGTTTCAACATTTCTGGAGTCGTTAGCTGCTTGTGCATCTTCTGTATGTGATTTGTCTGTGTTTGTTTTTTTTCATCTGAAATGGAGCTGTTTCAAGATAAGCAACTGGCTGGTCGTTTTTCAGCCTCAGGGGTGACAGAGGTGCTGGGCTGACGAGGCCCGGGGTGGAGAGGGGCTGCCCCGCACCTCAGGTCCAGCCACACGCCTCTGAAACTGAGCTCGCGTTTCTCACCCTCAGAGCTGGAGCCTGGGGTCGGGGGCTGTGTGTATAAAATGAGAGAAGCATTTATTATACCACAGGGTGATTTTCAATCAGTACCCCCAGGAAAAGGGGGTAGACATCTGGGATCACCCTTGAATCGAGACCAAGGATGGTATTCTTCATAGACATTGACACTTCTTCGTAGATTTTTAAAAATTAGATGCTTTCTTAAAATTTTTATTGGTGGCTAAAGGAGATGACCGATTGAGAGAACTTTCTGCCCCATGGGGAGGAGCTTGGTAAGTCCCTAGGCATATTGGGGATAGGTAGGGGGGTGGCAAGGGTAGGAATCTCCAGGGGAACTTTCCAAATAGAAAGATCTAAACTCTCATAGGAAGCTGCCTCGATAACTCTTCTACTATTTCCGATCGGTGCCCTGTCCTCTCCTCCCAGTTTAGACTTTGAGAACCCAATTACTTGGTGTATTAATTGCTATTCTGTACGTTAATCAAACTAAAGATCTTCCCTCATAGGCAGAAACACCATGGCAAGAACTTTCTTGAACTGTTTTCCAATCAAATGTAACTGATTTATTCCATCAAAATGAAAATCCCATTTTATTCATGTCAAAACAAACAATCTCTGATTCACCATCACCAGACTCAGGAGTGGGAGGTGAAGAGACATGTCTTTAAATTGGATGTAAACCCAAGAAAGGCCATGGCGAGGATAACAGCATCTGTCAAACACTGACGTCACGAAGGGACGCCGGGCACAGCGGAAAGGCATGAGCCAAATACCAAGCAAGGGGGCCCAAGTCACACAATGGCTCTAAGCCCAAATTCATCTATAAAGTGGACATAAAAAGGCCCACTCCCAGGATGCTGAGAATTAAATGTGGTAACGGTCTGTGTGAAGCTTAGTATATGACAGAGGCTCTCCTTCCTTGAGTCCCACGCCCCATGCACTGCCTTAGATATTCCTTTTCTCTATTTATTACACTATCCTTAGCAATGAGCCATTTTCTCCAGCACATCACAGCATCACTAGAAACTAGTTACGCTCATTTAGAGTTTGCCTGAGGAGGAAAATATGTCAGAATAAATCTGAGTTTGCGTTTTTTTTCTATTTATATTATTAGCAATCATGTCACCCTGTAGTCTATTCTGGAAAAGTTATGGCTGTGAACTTCATATTTTATTTAAATGAAAAAGTAGAGAATGAGTAATCTGTGTATATCCCTGTGAAAATGAAGTAAGTACAAATGACTCAAGCAATCCCCTGAAAAGTGATTCTAGAATAACGTTAAGAGCGTCAATAATTCCTGGGCTTTTTAGGGGATGGAACCATTGGGTTGTCCTCTCAGCTTTGTCTTGACATTGTTTTTTCAACACAGGAAGATCAGAGGCTTTGAATCCTAGCTCTGCCACATGCCAACTGGGCAATGTTTGGTAGTTAACCTCTCTGTGCCTCAGTTTCCTCATTTGTTAAACATGGGTAATGATATTCCATTGGGTGTTTGCAAAGAAATACATTCAGAATGCCACACACAAGATGACGATGGCAATGGTAATGGTAATAATCAGCCTTCACCTGTGTTGTACTTACTATGTCCAAGACCTTATCTAAGCACGCTATATGTAAGGACACATTTGTCCATAGGATAAGTCAGCAATATGCAGTATAGGGTCTACAAACATTGGTTCTTTTTCTCAGTCCTCAAGCCTGTTTCTTCATCCATCAAATTCAGATTCGGCTCTCCATATTGCAGTCAAAATATTTTTTTAAAATATAATCATTACCACCCACCGCCTCAAACACAAACACTCATGCATTTAAAGCCTCCCAGTGGCTCCCCACCACCTACCAAGCCCTGCATATTCGGACCCCTGCCTGACTTCCCTGCCCGACCTCTGACACAGGCCACCTGGCCTGCTCTCCAGCCACACCGGCCTTCTTCGGTTTCTCAGTATTTTCCCTCCAACCACAGTCTTTGGAGATGCTTCTCTCTTCCTACGGCCCATTTCTTGTCCATTGTAGCCTCAACTCTCAGCTCAAGCTGAGAAGCCCTCCCCGGCCCTCAGCTGATCACAGCTCTTACAGAACTGGGTTGCTTACTTCCCAGGGCCTCTTCTGGTCCTTCCATTATGAAGAGACCGATGTTACTGTTAACCTCTGTCTCCCTGCTGGACTGAGAGCTTCATGGGAGCAGGACCCACCTGTAAAGTTGTTCTCTCTTGTACCCCCAGCACTAGAACAACACCAAGCACTTCACAGGCACTTGATAAATTTTTATGGAAAGGAGGTGACAAATACCAAGGCTGTTGTATAGGAAAATTTTAAAAACATTTATGAAAAAGTTCTGCAAAGAGTGAACTCCTACATGAGTCCAGGTTGTTTCAACCAGTGCCAGTTGGGAGCCTTCCATGGCCATACTTGAGGGGACCAGTTTTATTAGCGTGCTCTATTTTAACTTGAAATAGTTACGATGCAAACGGCAAAAAAAGGGGACAATTAAACCATGCCGATGCATGAACAGGGTTTTGAGAGACAATTGGCCTGTCTTCCCTTCTCTGCGGACCTCACTAAGGAAGCACAGAGCTTCCTTCCCCGTGGTAGGGAAGGATTCAACCAGCAAAAAGATTTCAGGATTTGAGGGACAGAATCCCAATGACAGCCAAAAAGAACCCTCCCAGACAACACAGAGGAGATGGGGGGGACCCACGGCAATGAGAGGGCCAGAGAAGTATGGGGCACCTCGTCTCCTCTTGTCCAGTGGGCCTAATTTGGCACCCAACACGGGAGGGCCTTTTTGTGGGCTACCTAACGAATGAGGGGAGGCACTTTCTTGTCCTAAAGGGTCAAGGGCAATGTGCCTGGCCACGTGCCATGCCCTCTCCCTGAGCTGCCTTAGTCGTGTTCCCAGGCTTCGAACCCCTACTCGACCTTTATAACTCAGCTCAAGTCAAGCCTTCTAGGAAGCCTTCCTCCGCAGCTCCGAGAGGGAGTGGCTGTGATGAGTCACACAAGCCACAGTCAGAGAGGGGAGGAGAAACACGAGGGAGACGCAGAGAGGCACCCCCGGGCCTGGGGTCGCCGCCCGTGTGCCGGGGACTGTCCTGTACCATCTCATCTGCTCCTCCCACAAGGTCCGTACCAGAGGCTGCCACCTCCACGTGACAGGCGAGGAAGCCGACACACAGCTGGCTTGCCAGAGTCACAGTTAGTCAAGTGGCACAGTGAAGGCCCAAGTCGAAACTATCGGAAGCCAAAACCGGTGCCCTTAACCTTTACTTGGAACATTTATTTCTGAGGGTGGGTGTGAGAGCAGCCGTCTAGTGACATGCCCGTCCCTGGTGGCCGGGAGCAGCGCGGGCCCAGGGTTCTGCCCTGTTTGCCTTCAGTCTCTGTATCCTGCTTAGCACAGGGCTCAAGAAATTCTCCTTAAATGAAGGCCTGGGTGAGCGTGAATACACAGTCATCTGTCTCTATGAGTCACGCTCTTTCCATAGGCGGAAACTTCTGGAGGCAGGATCATTTCCAGGGACACCCAAAAGCAGGCCTGCTGGAAGTCTACAGGCACACACGCACACAGAGGGGAAAAATACACATTTTTCTAATTCATTATGTCATAAATAAGAATAGTAATAGAATAGTGAGTAAAATAGACAATGCTTGCTATTGCGAGGCACAGTTGCACTGCGTGTGGATGGATGTGTGGGTGTGTGTGCTCCTCACAACCATCCTGTGAGGTCAGTACTGTTACTAGCTTCATTTTATGCACGAGGAAACCAAGACACAGAGAAGTTAGGCAATTTATCCAAGGTCACACAGCTGCTAAGTGCAAGGGTTAGGATTAGCACCCACGCAGCCTGGTTCAGAGGTGGATGCTAAGAAAGGATGCTTGACTATGTTTTGTGCATTGGTACATGTTTATGCAATTCTTATTTTTCACATTTTTGGAATTCTCTACCTGGCCCCTTCCCTGTATTTAGAACCAATCCGCTCTTCAGACTCGCATCAAAT